ATATAGGAAAATTTTTTATCAATTTATTTATCATGTTCTAAGCTAATATAAAAGTCAAATATATAGGTGCTACTGGGAAGAGACATTGCCAGCCCACTTTATAAACAAAAACAAAACTACAGGTTAGAAACTCTGAGCATTTAGGAATGCCAATATTTTTACACTCGTTTAACTGAGTATGTGTGTGACCAAAGCAGATCAACAAAAACAGAAGTATCTGTGTAAAAGTCAGGAGGTAGTTTATCTTGTATACCAAGGAAAAGGAGTCCTCATAAGAGAGAGAGACAGGTAAGGAAGGATGGAAGAAAAAAGAACAAGCCTAGTTCCCAAAGAAGGAATAAATCCATAAAGGAGTAGGTGGAGATAAATAGACACAGGCTGGGGGCTCTTCCAGTTGTCATTTCCTGATTAATTAAGCAACTGTAAAGAACAAAAAGAATCTCAATTTTACTCATGCTTCTGTACGCTTCCACCATTCCTAAATGTAACAGACGTGGGCAGGAGGTAGACTTCAAATTTTATCAGTCTTACCTATCACTACAGAGCTGTCAACTCATGAAAATGTTGAGAGAATATACTTGCCAAAGCAGTAACTCATCAGCAAGTCCTGTCAGCTGTACCTATAAACTAGATTCCTAATCTTTACATTAGTTCTCTTATCCTTCCCCTGGAATACTGCCTCTAACCGTACTTCTCTATTGTTAAATTTGTGCTACCACCAGCCTCTTAAAAATGTAAAACAGATCAAGTCATTTACCTATTCTAAGCTCACTAAAGACTTCTCCCTGCACTGACAATAAAATCCAACTCCTTCCACAATCTGTATAACTCCCTATGATCCTCCTCCTATAGCCTATTAGGCATATATAATCTGGCCCATGTCTACCTCTCCAATTTCATCTTCCTTCAGGAATTCTCACACTCTCTATGCAGCCTAACCCCAGAGGCCTTGATTTTTCCCTCTTATCTACTTCCTTTCTACCTACTCAAAGTCATGGTATCCAATACTGTTTCACAGTCTGTGAAGGACATTCTTTGATTAGAATGCATTGAGGACACAATGATTTGTTTATTATTTGTTAGAGTTTCTTAAGATAAGGCTTCATTATACAGCCTGGATTAGCCTTGAGTTTATGATCCTCCTGTTTCAGCCTCTTGAGTGCTGGGATTACAGGCCTGTGTTGGATTACATGTGGAGAAGTATAATCCTTTAATTATCCTCGCTAAAACGTTTGGTATCCGGCCATTTGTACTGGCTACGCCCTTGATTCTCACTCAATAAAAGGTGACTGAGATTGGTAATCAGGGCTGCAGTCTGAGAGACTGTAAGCCCCCTGATCCCAGACTTTAGCCTCTCTTGTTTTTCTTGTCTCTCTTACTTTTTCTTTTCATCAGGACCTCCTTCTCGGGACCTGACACCCTGAACAGAACAACAGTCTTATGCCATTTCCTGATCCTGAAATGCTCTGACTCCAGCTGTTTCTATAGCCAACCCCTTGACATTCAGGAGCAACTCCAATGTTATCTGGTAGTCACTCCTGTTATCTTGCGGTCACATAATTTAAAGGAACATACCACACATCACAACATCTTATTACCCTGTGTTTCTGTCTCCATTGATAGCTCTGCCTGAAATTACATTACTCATTTATCTCTACTGTATAACAGACATTCATCTTATTTTATTCCATTTTCTGCTGCTATAATATGACACATGACACTGGGTAACTTATAAAGAATAAAGATTTAGTCTTCATACTTCTAGAAGCTGGGAAATCCAAAAGCATGGTGCAGGATCTGGTAAAGGCCTTCTGGCTGCATCATAACATGGTAGAGGGCATCACATGGCAAGAAAGAGGAATCATGCAAACTAACATCCATCTTCTACTTCTTATAAAGCTCCTAATGTCATCAACAAGAGTCTTTTGACCTAATTCAACCCTAAATACTTCCTAAATGCCCCACCCCAGATACTATCAACATATCAATATGTGTCCAAGGTGAATATATTTCCAACTTTGGGGGAACAAGTTCAAACCAGCACACGTCTTCCACCCTACTCTGCAAAACATGCAGGTAAATTCCTTGTCTTCTTTGATCTTTGCTGAATCCCCAAACCCTAGAACAATGTTTTATATCCAGTTGATATTCACTATTGGATGACAGAGTCTACCTATCCCAAACTCTACCCAAACCTTGTTTATGGCACATACTTCCCCAGCATTTGCCCACTAGTACTTCTTGTTTCTTATCTGTTCTCTTTTCTGAATTTCTTTTGGTCTTTGCTTGGCTTATAGCAACACTAAGGAATACAAAATAAATAACATAGACAAGAAAGATGTTAATGCTAATAGAAACCCACTCAGTCTGGCAGTGGCACAAAAACCCAAACAAAGTGATTCTTAAGGGCTAAAGTTCTTAGGATCAATATTATTCATTAGTGCAGCTCCAAAGGGTGGTATCAAAAGGAATTATGAAGACTGTATCTGTGACCTCGAAAAGTATCACATGCTCTGTGGACACTCAGTGGCAGGCCACAAGATAAACAGCAAAGAAGAATGGTATTACCAGGTAGATGATCTAAGTACAGAAAACAGTCCATTTAAAATTTCACCCTGAAGCTGATTTTCAAATCAAATCCCATTTCAATATTTGATGAATAATATTTAAGCCCACTGGTCTTTACAACTCTTAGCCATTTTAAAATTATAATAATAGTTACTATCATGCAGCAGCTACTGCATTCTAGATCGTTTCATCAAGTATCATATTATTGGAATTTATAAATGAAAATACTGAACTTCATGTAAGGGCAGACAAGTGATAAAAAGTAACAGTTTGGAAATCAGATCTATGTGTTACAAAGGTCTATGTTCTATGGAGTCTGTATCTCCTGTGAATTACAACCTAGTAGAAGTAAAACCAATAAATAAAAATCTGTATTTGTAAATTAAGGGAAGGCATTTTTCTATTAAGTGTTCCTCACTTTAGAAAGAGGCAGAATGGGATTTCCTTAAATAGTGAATTTTGATAATACATTTAAATAACAATAGCATGGCTACCTCCAAAAGCCAGTCTTCAGAATCCTTTTATATATAACTATTGTATTAGAATCACCTAATATTAAGAGCTGTCTTACTATTTATAGGTCTAGCCATGATATCCAAACTGAACTGATAATCAAGATCTTATCACTTAGAGCTTCTTAAAAATGAAAATTATAACCTTCACCCCAGTTCTTCCAAATCAGAATCTCTAGGGCCTGACCTCCAAAACAATTTTTAAAATGAATAACTAAAGTTCTGAACTACTTGCACCCTAAAGTCAGCATTCTATAAATGAGTAAACTGAGGACCTGAACGGTAGAACCTTCAAGTTATAAGGCTTGTTATGTGTCACATAAAGTGGAGAATCATTGTTAGCACTTTTCACACTGATTCAAGCTGTGTTTTAGTAAAACTGTACTCATTTCTGCTTTGCTACTTTGTGCTGTCAATTACTTATTACCCACCGTCCTCGTGCAACTTATTCCCTCATCTGCAAGCTGGGAATAAGAATAATAGTGCCTACCTTTTAGGAGTTTCTGTGAGGATCAAATAATGTAACATTCATTATATAATGCACTTAACACAACGCCAGGAATAGTGAGCACGCATCAGCTAAGTTATATAACCCACTAAAAAAGCATGCCTATTTTAACTGGAGAGCACTTACTAAACCACTCCATTACAAAATGTACAAAAAACCCACGTTTAGCTTTATAAGTCCAAGAGGACTTTAAATTCAGGGTTAAGTGTAAAGTCATGGCATCTAGCATCTTGTTTTTCCAGTCATCGTCTGCTGCTGTTAAAAGTTCACTCCGCAGAGAATACCCTGAGAAGTGAACTAACTTCTCAAGAGCTTGTCTGCCTGCTGCACACCAGTCTCTCCGGGGATGCCTCAGGCCCCCTAGTGAATCCACCTCTCGGCGACACCCAAGAGTCTGCATTTATGAAATGCCTCTGCCCACGAAACAGGTAAACCGGCTTGCTAGCCAGTGATACACAGGCTTCGTGGCCACAGCAAAGGGCCTCTCAAGTCCTCCCGCAAGTCCCTGTCGTGCTCTGTAACCAAACACGCCGCGTCATCCGGCCCTGAGGTAAATAACAGCTGGGCCCGACTGTCCGGAGCAGCCCTCGTGGTCACCAGGGACAGATTCGACCCCCTCACCTCCTAAGACACTTAGATAATTGCGAAAACGCTGCCCCGCAGTCCCTGTGGTAGACAGTGCTGCTTAGGCTGCCACGAGAGGCTAAGGTTCACTCAATATTCTTCCCAGGGACAAGGGCAAACGAAGGCGACCCTGGAGGTCTGAGCAGGCCGGAGCGGCGCCGAAAGGTTAACGACCCTCTTGCCGGGTTCTTCTCAGCGGCGGAGAACCTTCGCTACTCCAAGGACCAGCTGCCGGAAGTGCGTCATCCGCCAAGCTGGGGATGCCGGGAGTTGTAGTTAAGTAGCTGGTTCTCTTACCTCTCCTTTTCCCCCCACCGCCTGCCCCACGTCCCATAACTTTTTGTTAAACAAGAAAACACCTGGGAAATCTAGGAAAGGTCGCTTTGTGCCTCACAAGTCTACTATCCCTTCCTTTGTCCAGCTGAGAGGGCAAACTCTCGGCGCTCGGGGCAGCGGGGTGTGTGTGGGTCGCGGGGGAAGAACGGGCAGACAGTGGACTGCAAGTCCCGGCATGCTCCGCGGCGCTCCCCGAACGCCCGGCCACCGTCGTAGGTGCGAGCCGCATGAATGGAGCGCCGGGTGTAAGGCAAAGCCTGGCACTGTCCGCGCGGCGGGTACCTGCTCCCGAGCGCGAGTGCGGGGTGTGGGCTGTGCGCGTGCGCGCTCGGAGGAAGCGCGAGGCGAGCGCGCCTGGCCGTTGCTGGCGCGGGGCCGCTGAGGTTGGCAACAGCGGCCGGTAAGCCGCGCCTCGGACCGTCTGGTACTTGCGGGGCCTCCCGCCTCGCCTGGGGCTGCAGGCAGCAGTGGCGGCCGCCGGGGACCGCAAGGGCCGGAAGAAGGGAGGAGGCCGGCCCCGGCACACGGAGGAGCCGCCGAGCATGCCCCGAGACAACATGGCCTCCCTGATCCAGCGGATCGCCCGCCAGGCGTGCCTCACCTTCCGGGGCGGCGGGGGCGGCCGCGGCGCTTCCGACCGCGGCGCGACTGCTGGCCCCGAGGCGCCGGTGCCGCCCGGCTTCCCCGAGAACCTGAGCAAGCTGAAGAGCCTGCTGACCCAGGTCCGCGCCGAGGACCTCAACATCGCCCCGCGCAAGGCCCCGCCGCAGCCGCTGCCGCCCAGCCTGCCGCCGGTCACCTACATGCACATCTACGAGACGCACGGCTTCAGCCTCGGCGTGTTCCTGCTCAAGAGCGGCACGTCCATCCCGCTGCACGACCACCCGGGCATGCACGGCATGCTCAAGGTGCTCTACGGCACCGTCCGCATCAGCTGCCTGGACAAGCTGGAGGCGGGCGGAGCGCAGCGCCCGCGGGCCCCGCCGCCCGAGCAGCAGTTCGAGCCGCCGCTGCAGCCGCGCGAGCGGGAGGCCGTGCGGCCCGGCATCCTGCGCTCGCGGGCCGTGTACACCGAGGCCAGCGGCCCCTGCGTTCTCACCCCGCACCGGGACAACCTGCACCAGATCGACGCTGTGGACGGGCCCGCCGCCTTCCTGGACATCTTGGCCCCGCCCTACGACCCCGACGACGGCCGGGACTGCCACTATTACCGGGTGCTGGAGCCTGTCAGGCCCAAGGAGGCCTCTGGCTCGGCCTGTGACCTGCCCCGAGAGGTGTGGCTCCTAGAGACCCCGCAGGCCGATGACTTCTGGTGCGAGGGGGAGCCCTATCCGGGTCCCAGGGTCTTCCCTTGAAGCCACGGGCGCTCGCTGTGGGCCGAAGACGTGCCCTGTGCCGATCGGGGCCTGGCTGCTCGCTCCCCACCCACCACAAGGGCTCGGTCTCTCCGCACGCTCCCTCGCTGTCTGACCCCTGGCCTGGGCGTTGGATCTACCAGAGTGACCGTCAGCAGCGTCCTCGGCAGTCGAGCGGGCTACTGGACAGCAGCCATCGGGCACGGTTAAGGGGGCGGGGTGGGCGGGAGGCTAGGTTGTTTCCTGGTACTTTCACTGCCACCAGAGCTTTGATTGCGGGAGTGGGGCAGGGGATTCTGAAGCGCTTCCATCCTAAAGCCATAATAAGAATATTCTTCCTGTTACCCGTTCGATACAAAATACACTAGTTTTGTACCCCAACCCCACTTGGTGCATACGGTTTGTTTTCCACTCCTGCCCTCATGACCTTTTGCTCTTCACAGTTAACTTATTGACTGCATGACCAAGTAGTTTGAATTGGTTTTAGTTCAAGACATTGGTTAAAACTACATTTTCAAGAGATGCACAACTTTTAAAGTGAGCTGTCGGGCAGCAGGTGCCCTGTGAAAATTAAATCATCTTCTTAGCGTTCTGGGATCACTCTCAAAACATAACTATGCATGTGGAGGATAAGATTTATTTTCTTTGCTCACTAACCACATCTGGTTTACTCAGGCAGCCTCTACTAAAAAATTCAGCACCTGCGTATCTCAGTGAGAGCTGGTTCCTTAGAGTTTATCTTCCCCGTGGATCTCCACATCTGTGAGTTGAGCAGATTTTTTGTTGTAGATTCGCCTTTAATACAAAAACTATATTCTCCTCAAGTGACTGTTTTCTTAATGTACCTTTTAAGAGGCGATAGGGTAATTCTGTGTTTTCTGACCAGAATCAGAGGAGTCCAATCTGTTCTGCTTCCAAACAACTGAATGTAGAACACCCCTAGACAGCTGATGAATTCCATGTTCCTATTGACTTCCAATATCTTCCTATAAAAGTAGAGGAAAACAGTACGTTGGTGACTGTGTCACATTCTCCCAGGAACCAGAGGGCTGTGGTTTCTGCTGTTGCTCATGGTGTTATCCCTCGCCTTCAAATGGTAGAGCAAGCACTTGCTTGGTCTGATGTGTTTTGTAGGAAGAGGTAGAAGGCAGGGATGGTCTAGGCTGGAGAGTTGGAAATTAAATGTACTTCTAGCCATTTTAGCACACCAAAACTCGGGATGAAACACTTCCCACTTCCAGCTCCTGAAATAACAGTTATCTGTAGATTTATTTGTCCCTTTAATAAGCTGAGCAACTGTACCTTGTTTACAAATGTATTGGCACCATTTGCTTCAGGCGTGGAGCACTGTTTCCCCCTTTTTACTATTTATAGTATTACGTTTTTTCAGGAAGCTTTTCATAAAAACAAGCAGCAGAGATAAACACATTGAGATTTGCTGGGCTATTGTCTAAGCCCTTTTGATGGACTTGCACATGTGGCAGTAGACTTTTGTCTGTAATAAAGGAAAATTTACTATTATTGTGGAAACTGTTTACTGCCCTTGAGGGAAACTATTCCACTTGCCTCTAACAACACTAGGTTACAGAGACCCAGGGTGAAGGAGTGTTTCTTCCCAGTTCTTAATATGGAAAAGCAAATTCTTTTTAATAAAAGACACTTATTCCATGTGACATGGCACTAGAAACCTGTTGGAAAACCTGACGTGGGCATAATACCAAGCATTTCCTCCAGGGTTGCAAAAATTATTACTGTAGCTTCACATTGTGGTGTGATTTCAAATGCCTTGGGGGCAGTATGAAGCAGCTCTTCATGCCACACAGTTTGAAAACATTCTAGATATGCAAATAATTTTCTTAGAAAACTTCACAAAATAAAATGTTTGTGTTTTTTATACTACAGTAATGAATGTGTGTAGTTATCAGTGGGTCATACACCTTTTAAAATTGTAACAAAAAATTAATTTACAAAGACTGTTGATAGTATTATGTATGTCACAGTTAATTCTGGAGTATGTTAAACTAACCCTACAGAAACATCCTGGAAATATGGCAGTAATGAAGGAAGAATTATTGTGAAAGACTTCACTATCCAAAAAAAGTGGTGAAAGTTCTCAGTTATAAGCAATTTGGAAGGAAAAAATCGAGGTGCTTTTCAGAAGAGTGACTGAAGTTGTTCAGGCCAAAACAGCAATATATCTTTCTAATTTAGTTCAGTATGAACAGTGAAATTTTGACTCACTAATAAAATGAGTACTTTAATGCTGAAAACAAAATGTAACTTGTTATCATGAACCAGTACAGAAAAAATACGCTCATTAAAAATACGAAATGTGGTACAGAGGAAATCTTGCACCTCTGTGCATAAAGTGTTAGTCACAACTGACTTCTTGTGCTGCTATTGTTTCCATGTAGTCCTGCAATATAGATTTTGTTTTAATAATAACTATGGGATAAAAGTTATCTTCTAGGAAAGACTAATGAGCACAATGGTATTAATCATTCAATTTTTTCGTTGAATAATAAATGCAATAATTGCCTCTCATGGATGAGAAATTGTCTGTCTAAATACTTGTGAAGCTTTTAGATTCTCTGTTACACCAGTTATATCAATGCAGAATATTGTAAACCTGCTTACTACTTTGAGAACTGATTTTTACTAAGCCTTTTATTTATTAATGAGGAAGGTGGTAATATGTGCTTTTATCAACCAAAATTCTTTAAGCCTTTACATAAATAGCTCTTAGCTTCTCCCAAAATGCACACCTTTTACCCCTGCCCCCATTGTCTCCTGGTAGGTGCCTTAATCCTGGCATCTCGGGAGAATTCTCCTCACTGTATTCTAAATGATTCTGAATCCTGTGCTTCCGAAGAAGCAGCATATTGTTAATTCAAACATCTGCCTATTGTTATTTAACCCTACCCTGAAAGCAGTGTTACTTCTATAACTGAGTCCAAATTCACAACTTTAGCTTCTGTACACAGCTGATCCTGGTTGTCTCCAGTGCACTGAGACATCTGCTGTCAAAGAAGGAAACCATTTGTTAATGGTACTGAATCTTCTAATTCAGGGATGCTTACGTGCATAGATAAAATAAGTGTGCTTATGGCAAATAAAGGGACGTTTAAAAATGTTTAGACATAAATCTTACTTGATTATTGCAAATCAGAGAAGGAGAACACTTCCTACTATATATATATTTTGATGACTGCTAAAGGTTCACAGCCTATACTGTTGTACCAAATGCTGTCAGCCTTTTAAAGATTATTAAAGTCCAAGTAATAGTATAAACTTAACATCAGTTGATTTTCCTGAGAGTGATCTTTGAAAAGAATGGATGAAAACACATCTGAAACTTTGATATCTAGTCCTACTATTTTTCTCATTAAAAAAAGCTCTTTTATATTTAACCTAAAGAAAACTATTACAAGAAAACAGAATTACTTTCATCCTAAAAGGAAAGAGACTTATTTTCTTCCTTTGATTTTTTTTTCCTGTAGAATTTGTATAGTTGTAGTTTGGATTGGCACCTGTATTGATGTTGGCCACCACCCTACACACACACACATACACACAAACTCAAATTGTATTGAACTGTTAAAATGTTACTGTAGCAATTTTTAATATATAAAGCAATTTGCCTTGATCTGATTAGCAGTTAGGATATTAAAATTAAATGGTCTGGTTTATGAACACCTGAGAACCTTATTTAGGTTTAATCAGCCTGTTTATAACATGAATTGAACCATCTCAAAAGCATTATGAACCTTTAAGGAATTACTCTTTAGGAATTACTCTCCAGAAGTTACTTTTTAATAAAAAAAAAGTAATAACAACTGAGTATCAGTAATATTCCATAAGGTATATGCAAGAGATTAGTAGATTTTCTGTGCCTTAGCACAGTAAAAAATGAGATGCCTGTGAAAAGTACCCTCAAAATTATAAGCCAAAAATCTAAAGATTCTGGCCTCACATATTGTAAGTGTAGGAGTAAAAGCCATGAGGTTGGCCCTGTAAAAACATTGTGGTGTGGTGTTCCTTGGTATATATATTACCACTACCTCATCAAGTAAGTCAAGGTGAAAGTATGTGACCAATTTGGTTATCATCAAAATGTCTTCAATCTTGTTTTTTAAATGATTTTACTTTCTAACTTTGTAAACAATGGTTCAGATTATCTTGGTTGAAGGTGGTCTAAAAATTTGTCAAGATGGTTACATATTGTACAAATCTTGGGTGAACTATATTTTAATATTAAATCTTGTAAGAAGGATTTGTGAACATGTAATTATCGAAGTTCGTATTCTACACCTGTCAAAATTAGATAAGCAAGGATGATGAGAAATACTAGCCTAATGGGAAATCATCAATCATGAGAAAAAGCTGACACTCAAATTTCAAAATTTACTAAGAATACCTCTTAGCAGTTCTGAAAAGAGGTATTCTATATCCTTGAAATAGGAATGGAAAAAGGACATGGAGAAGAGGATTAACTACCTCCATAAATTGAATCTCAAATTCCAGTGCTATTAAAGGAAAAAACGGCTTTCTAGGAGTAGCTGTGAATACCTGCTATTCTGAAGTACAAACTATCAAAAGTCAAGTCTGAGAGTCTAACGGCAGCAAAAGACAAGCAGGGGATTTTCACATGTAACTGAACAGTAAATGCTCCAACGTATATGTGTAATAAGCCAAGGGTGAACTTAAGTGATATTTAGGTCCAGATTTTAGAGTAAAGATGATTACTCCATTGAAGATAGGAACTGTTTGCTTTATATGATAGATACGTAAAAATATATTTTTTTGGTAAGCTTGTGTTTTAAAATTACTACAGAAGTCTTCCAGTAAAATGAAACCTATGGTGTTTGGCTTTGCAAACCAGTATCCAGTCTCTTGGAGAACTGTATTTGCCTAATTCAGATTGCCTTTGAGATTTTCTTAAGCCTAGTAGATACGTAGTTTATTTCACAAGCTGGGTGTTTTGATAGTCACTTCTAAACCCACCAAACCTATAGCAGGTAGCTGATCCTTCTGTATAAGGGTACGGTTGGGAAGCAAAGGCTCAAAAGAAACGAGTCCTGGGGTAATTCCTTTGGAAACCCATGAATGCTGTCATCAGCAGTGTCTGAGGGCATTTTGATCTGAAGAGGTGATAGTGCTTTCAAAAACTTTTCTGTAGTCATGAAACTAATCCTGGAACCTGAAAGTCATTTCCAGCTTGACCACGCCACCACACTTTCCACAAAGCCACATCTCGTCTGAGTTCCAGGGCCTGGTCAGAGTTCTGAAAGCAGTTGCAAATGTGTAGTCTCCGAGTGGGCACTTGTTTGTAAGTATTTATTTTCCGGAGCCCACTCAGGAGCAGAGAGAAGCTATAGGCTGCTACAGAGGACGGAACAATGAGTCAAAACAACGCCTCCCCACTTTTACACTAACGTGGGGGGAAATCCCCAGAACACCAGCGTTTGATTATGAATGGAGATTGGAGCGGCAGGTTTGGTGTCCACAGGCTAGCAAACAAAACTTGGAGATCCTGTCTTGGTCTAAGCACTTTAACCCACTGATTAGGGGCATCTCTTAATACTTCTACAGGTGTTAAATGACTGTGTAATTCCCATCAAGTATTTCATAAATGATTTCTACAGCAAAAATATTGTTGAAAAGTATTTATTTACACTATAGTCATAAGCCATTCATTATTTGAACTTGTTAGTGGTTTTTGTGTTAGATCATTTATTTTTCCACAGCTATTAAGAGCTAATAACCAAACAAATCCAAAATTTGACTACAAAGGTAACACTTTTAAGTCACAAAACAAGAGCATACAAAAATATACTTTCTAAAAAAAATTCCAAATATTAATAGGCAGAAATATACAGCCATACTTAACCCAGGGAGTGAATTTATTTTCCATAGTAAGGCAACCCATTTACATGCAGACCCTGTAACATTGTCTACATCACACAAGGCACCAAGGACACTTCAACACAATTGCATGCATGCTAGTTTTAGAGAATTATATGTACATCACTCTTTAAATAAGTTAACCTCTGACTCATTTCAAGAGATCATAAATGCTTTACATTTTTTCCCAAAGGTTCAGAACTTGGAGAACAGTGCACATCAAAAATACACAAAATCTGAATGGATATACACTGCAAAAATAGTCTACATTTTTCAACTCAAAAAGGAGCAGGTATTGCTATGTCCCTCCCATCACATTGCACTTCTGTTGTCTGAGTTTATAATACATATTGCTCAAAGGGTTGAGATGACTAGATAAGCTTTGATTCGCTGTTCTAGGGCCACCAGCTGCAAACAAAGGCTGTTTGGTCACTGTACAGCGCCCCCCAAATCAGTCCCAAGCCATAAAGTGCACATCAGTTTTGCTTGTCTTCTTGCTGTCCCCACTTGAAGAGATCAGCATCTCCCAACCTACTGTAGAAAAAGTCTCAGATCAACTCTGCCATCCAGGATCAAAAACCTGTCCTGGGTCAAAAGAAAGGGAAAGGGGAGCAAAACCCTTCTAGTCAAAGAACCCTTTAAAGCAGGGTTGAACCTCAGCCCTCAAGGCCAGGGTCCACACCCAGGCCTCTTCTGAGCCTTCCCGGTGCCTTGGGTGACGGTCAGCTCACCTAAGAGACACTACGGGGGGCTAAGTTTTAGGAAGGACTCACTTCTGAGAGGAAAGAAGCCCCAGGTTGGGCTCCACCAAACCCCTCTGCCCAACAGAGGAAGGGAGGAGCAGGGAAAGGTGGTAGTGTTTGTGGTGCAGCTGGAATGGACAAAGGGCCTGCAGGAAGTGATGCTGTCAGTTTCAGTCTCAGCTCAAGGTGTCCGGGTCCGAGAAGAACAAGGGGCCAGTGGCCCTCCGCCAAGAGTGCTGTTGCTACCGCTGCACAGGCCGCCCCCGGCCTGCGAGCCCCCGGCACAGGGCGTGGCGGAGGAGGCTGGTGCCGCCGAGGAGGGAGCACTGCTTCTCCGCTCTTTCTGTCTCAGGTGGATCTTGGTGTGACGCTTCCTTTCATCGCTCCGGGCGAACTTGCGGCCACAGTAATCACAGGCAAAGGGCTTCTCACCGGTGTGGGTGCGGATGTGCGTGGTGAGATGGTCACTCCGGCTGAAGTTGCGCATGCAAATCCGACACTGGAAGGGCTTATGCCCAGTATGGATTCTGATGTGCCTTGTCAGCTCGTCAGAGCGGGAGAACCGCCTGTCACAGCCTTCTGCTGGGCATGGGTAAGGCCTCTCGTGCACCGGCGTCTTGCTTGGTCTGTTGGGGTACTTGCGAGGCCTCAGGATGGGCCGCAGTGGCAGGTGGTGTGGGTTATAGGCGGCAGCGGCCGCGGCTGCTGAACTGCTGCCAGGCAGCCGGGGTCCCTCGTTGACTCCGGTGGCCCCTGGTCCTGTGACCCCAGCACTGGGGCCCCCCAGGGTGAAGTTACGGATGGTAGAGAGTGGAGTGAGTGGAGGGGGGACCCGCAGGGAGTCCAAGGGACAAGGAAAGGGCTTGCGATCTGGGCCAGCTGTACCGTGTAGGTCTCTCTGGCACTGAGGTGGGAAAAATCCCGGATAGTCTGGAATCATGGGGAAGAGACCTGGGTCCGTGGCTGGCTTGGGCGATGGGTAGGAAGGAGGCGGTGGGTAGGCCAAAGAAGACGAGGTGGAGGTGGTAGCTGCAGACAGGAATGCCGAGGGGTCCTGGTAGAGGTCTCCCGCACAGCCAGAATAAGGAGGAGGAGGCGGTGGTGGAGAGTAGAGGTGGTCCAGGTCAGGCTGGTTCTGGGACATGGTGCACACGCCCAGGGCTCCTGTGGCCAATGGGTTGGGGGAGGCAGAGGTGACGCTGGACGAGGCTGTGGTCGAAGCTGGGGAAGTGACCCCCTGCAGGATGCCTGCACTCACGATATTGATGATGCCTTCTGGGTAGCAGCTGGCACCAGGGTACTGGGGGTCAATGGAGAACTTGCCCATGTAAGTGAAGGTCTGGTTCCTGGGTGCAGAGACAGGAGCAAAGCTGCTAGGATACGGGAGATCCAAGGACCTCTTCTCTCCAGTCATGTCAATGTTGATCATGCCATCTGGGGAGGGAAAAGGCAGAGTGGAGGTGGAGAATGAGAACGTAGCCGGGAAACAGCCTCACCCCTTTCTCTCATGGGTCCATTCCCAGGGCACTGGATCCCAGCAAGCTGGAGCAATATCCAACAGGCGGGGAAACCGAGGCTTAGAGACAGTAAGAAAAGACTAGCCCAAATCTAGTACTCAAGAACTACCTCCAGGAAATCAAGGCGCGCTCCCACCAGCCACCTGTGGCTCTAGTCCCCAAATAAAACACCCAATAATGGCAAAAACAATATTAAAATTCCCCACCTGCCTGCAACTTCTCTTTTGCTTGAGGGTCCCATGGCTGGGTCACCAGGACAGGTACCACCCAAGGACCGACCTATCCCAGCTAGCTCGAGAAGGTACCAATCCGTCTGAGAAGGCGCCAGCCCCAGAGGGGAACCCAAAAAGTGAGAAGCGTGACTTTCCGGGCCCCCCCCCACCCCCAGCGCCTTCCCTCCTTCACTCTCCCTCTGCACTTTGACAGGCGGCAGCTGGAAGGAATGGGGGCTGTTCAACAAGCCTACAGGTTTCTCTTCCCTCCCAACATCCTCAGCCTCATCCGACACCCGCCCGTCCCCGCCCCGCCCAAGGCCAGTGGCTGGGCTTCCAGAAACGCGCGGGGGCTGCGGGAGACGACTTTCTACAGCATCGCCAAGGAAACCCGCGGCGCCGGTGCCCCCGCGGGCCTCCCTCGGTAGTCCGGGGGTTGCTTCCCGCTGTTGCCCGCCCGCCTCCACCACCTCCTTCTCGCCTGTGCCGGCCCGAGCCCCCGCCTTGGTAACCCCCTTCTCTTCTCAGACTGCACGGAGGTGGGGGCGCGTCTCCAGGATTTTCCCCGGGTAGGCTTTGCTCCGGCGGGAGCCGCGGACGCATTTCTCCGGAGCTTCTCTACAGCTAGGCTTTCCAGTCGCGCGGCTCTCCTTGGGAGCCCTGAACTTTACAGTCACTTTGTCCCTACCCCAGGAGAGGAGAGGAGAGGTCCACAAGGAGCCGGCGGAAGGGCCTGCGCAATCCCGAAGCCAGGAAGGAGGGCGCCTCTTCCACCCTCCTATCTGCGCCCACCCGGGACCAGCGCGCCAGGGCGCACGCCTGCCGGTTCCCTGGATACCTGGCCTCGGCGCCCGTCCGCCTTCTCCCCGGCCCCTCCTGCACTCACTTCCAATCTTCAAAGCCAGGGCAGTCAGCACTGTCCAGCTCTAGCCCCAGTCTTCCCCAAGCCCGGCACACGCACCGCTCTCAACCCACCACCTCCCAGTCATAAGAGTCCTGCGAAGAGGACGCGCCGCTTACCTCCAGCCACTCCGTTCATCTGGTCAAAGGGGCCTCCCAGTTCGGCATTGGGGAAGATGGTCACCGACGTGGGGCCGAGGTCCTCCACCGGATAGATGTTGTCAGACAGCTGGTGCACAAAACCACTGAGAGTTACTGGGATTTTGTCTACAGCCTTGGCGGTCATCATTTGCGCCTCGCACAACCTGGAGACCCAACTCCCTCGCTACCTGGAGTGTCAGAGAAGCCGTTTTGGAGAGGGATAGGACTGAGCCTGGGTTGGTATCTCCTTTTGCCCTCCACACTTAGAAACAACCACCACTAAAAAGAAAAGAAAAAATCCAACAGAAATAAAACTAGCAAACAAGTTGCTGGTTTGATTTGTTTTTTAAGAAAGAAAAAAAATGGCTCTTTGCCACTGACTCTCTCCTATCCGTGTTCCGGCTGTTGGAAAGCCAGGAGTTGCTGGTGTAGTGTTATTATAACAGTCAGTGTGTCCCCTCGCCGAGCTATTAATCAATTGCTGCTCTCTCAGTTAGACGGAAAGTGTTGCTCTAAGTATTTATGGGCAGGTCTTCAATGCCCGTGACGTCGCTGCCCATATATGGACTGAGGAACAGGGCTGGGCCAGGCGGCTTTTGCCGTCACATGGCCGATTTGCATACGGGTTCAGCAGCTCAGGCTCCGCGGGGCTCGCGACTACCGGTTCGCAGCCCGCGGGGGGTCGGGATGCGCGGCCTGAACCGCAGCCTGGGTGCGGGGCTCAGGGCTCCGCGGGGAGGGGGCGCACGGCGGACGACCCGGCTGCGGTCAGGGAGGGAGAGCGAGCGGGTGGGGACTGCAGCTCAGCCTCTCGGGGCGGGGAGGAATTCCGGTTCTCCCGGACTTTCCAAAAAAGGAGAAGATCCGGTGCCGGCGGCTCCGCCTCCCCGGCCCTTGTTTGGGAGCCATTCCGGAAAATTAAACTTCGGAAAGAAACCGAGCCCAGCCGAGACACTACAGTCAAACCCCTACTCACTTTCTTGGCAGCTCAAAACCACAAGCAAAAGAAGGCAAAGAGAGAGAGAAAGAGAGAGAGAAAAAAGCTACATGCATTCACGGAAGCTGACTGCTTTTTTCTGAATTACTTGGTGGAAAGAAGTGGCTGGTGATAAGAGTGAATGCGGTATTGCTTTTTTGGAAAGTCTGTTCTATTTATACAGGAGCGAAAACGGAACAGGTTTGGGTTGTTTGTTTGTTTTAAGTATTTTGGGCTCCTTGGGGCCGGGGTAGACCCTGAGGAGAGCAGAATAACTGCAAGAGCTTCAAAAGAAACCCTCTAGCCGGAGACACCCTGTTCCTGCGCCCGCGCGCCCTGACCCTTTCAGCTGCAGCGCGCAGCGGGCGCCCTTCCTGGCGCGTCTGGGCTGTCGGCGGCGTGGGGGCGTCCGGATGGACGCTTGGACACTGGCCCTGCGCGCGCACACACACACTCGCACACACTCACACACACTCCACTTCCGCTACACACGCTCCCACCCCCGCTGTCCTCTTCACACACCCACTCACACACCTTACGCTACACTCCTCTCTGTTGACCGAGCGCGCCACTGCTCCCGCCCGGCTAGGAGGGTCCTCTCGCCCCCACCCCGCGCCGCGTCAGAGCGGAGGCCCGAGCTCGCCAGACGGGACGCTCCGCGAAGGCACTGTCCTCACCCGCACTACCTCTCCAAGCCGCCACCGTTTGTATCCCCTGCCGCCGAGCCCAACTCTGGTAGCGCGCACCGCCCGCACTGAAGCCCTGTTCCAGAACACGCGCTGGGAGGAACTGCCTTCTCTCCCTCTCCAAGAGCATCTCAGCGAGCTCAGTCCGGTCCAGAGTGAGAGCAAACAGCGTCCCCACGGCCGGTTTCCAGCCGTTATCACTGCACGCATGTGCCCTCAAGACAGGAAACTGACCCCCATAGAAATCTTTCTATTTAGTTCTCAAAGCAGTTTTTAAAAACTTTTCGGAGCCGAGCTATACCGCGCCCATTTCTGGCTCTCTGGACCCAAGGGTCCTACCTCCCGGCGAGTCACAGCCCGCAGCAGGAGCGCCCCGAAGGCTGGTCCCGGGACCCCAAGCCCGTGAGCCCAGGGCCCGCCTGGCCTGCGGCCATCTATACGGTTAGGAAAGGCTCCCGCCCTTTCCCGCCCCAACGCGGTGGAGGCCGGCGATAAAGTGTGGGGAGCTCTTCCCTTTCCTGATCTGGACCCGGGAGGAGACCCAGCCCGGAGGAGACCCGGGCTGGCGGGCAGGAGCCAAGGCGCCACGCCGTGGAGGAAGCGCGGCGCTGCAGGCGCTCTCCTGCCGCTCACCTGCCGCGGCGGTCGCCGCAGCTCTCCGACAGCTCCGCCGGGGCTGGAGCACCAAGATCAGGGACCTCGGGCAGTCAGGAACCCCCATCTGCGCCTGTACCCGAGCCCCGCTACTTCCCGTGCCCGCAGCAAGAGCTGGGCTCCTGGCACTGGCAATCTCCCGGACTTAAAACGCCCAGAGCAAATTTGTGAAAGTTTTTTGGTCAACGCTATGCACTCTTCCCATGGAGTGGGGGACAGGGCAAAGGAAAGAAATCGCAGCAAGTTAGCACCAACTCTGTAACTGTATCCCCCGCAGTAAAAAAACGTGCAAAGGCCCCTCTCTAAGCAAAAGAAGAAAAACAAATCTGCGCTCTTACCACGTGAGGCAGCCCGCTCCGCCTGCGCTCCGGCCGGTCCCGGGGCCCCCGCGCTGACCACGGGCAAGACGACACGTCGGAGGGGAGCCCGACTCTCATCTCCAGCCTGAGTCCGAAAGAAGCGGCGGGGGGTGGGGGGCGGTTATGCAAATGTAGATCTCCGCGGTGGGGCTCGGTTACGGCCCCCGCCTGCCCCAGAGGTGAGGCGGCCACCGGCGGCAGGCGCGGGCCGAGCCACTGCTTGGCTTCGCTCCTCTCGGTGCACGTGGGCGGGCGCCCCGGCGGGCTGGGGACTGACGCGGCCGCCCCTCTGCCGACGCCGCAGCCAACCCGGCCGGCTGTCACCGCGCGCCGCCCCGAGGGGGAGCTCCGGGACGCCCGAGCGCCCAGGGAAGGGCAGGACGCCCGCCGGGGGTGGCCCAGGCGAGGGGAGCGCGCGGTCTGTGGCTGTCACCCTTCCTAGAGGAGACCAGTGGGGATAAGAGTGAGAAGAAAGCCCCACCGAGGAGTCTGGCAAGCAGGTTAGAGTAAATGGGACTGACCGACCCTCTGGAATTCGGAGCTTCCCAAGGACTCGCGCCTCCCTTTGGAGCTATGTGGAGTCACGCCCCTGGAGCGCCAGAGGTGGGGTGGGGGCAGGGGCAGCCAGGAGCTGCTGGGGGCCGTGCAGGCTCGCAGAGGGTGCCTGGAGCCAGTGCCAGGAAACCTTCCTGATCCTCCACCTGTTAGCAGATAGTTCCTGTGACCTTTGTTTTTCCTTTTTCTAAGGGTGTTTCTTAAATATGGGTAGAGCAGATATTGGGACAAAATCAAGGAGCGCTTATTGCCACCCAGCCATCCTGTGGGTAGGTAAGGTCAGAAAGCTAAAGTGACTTGCCCAAAATCACGTAGCTGGTAAGGGATCCAGTTCCAACTTGCCACCGGGTCTTCTGAATCCAGGTATGGCACTGGTCGCTACATCATGCTCTCAGGAAAAAAACAATGCCAGAAAGGAACAGTTCTTGGAGGACTGGAAGCGTGGGTCAGCCCACTGGGGAAGAAACAAGTCACCTTTGTCAGTTCGATCTCCTCTCTCTGACGTTTCTGAGAAGCAGAAAGCCTAGATAGGGCTTCCTGAAGGAAGGCGAGGAGGGGCTGTCGGAAACAGTGTGAAGGGAGAACGGAGCTCGGGCTCTCCAGACCTGGTTAGCACGCCAGGTTGGCATAAAGCCAGCACGTGAATGGCCCTGTCATAAGAGAAACCGAGCTCTCGGTGTCCTTCCTGGAGGGAAGAAGAGTTGCGAGAAGAAAGGCAGGCATAAAGGAAAACTCGGAAGGTGATGACCGAGCAGGTTACTGTGCTGGGTGAGGAGAAATGGGAAGGAGGTGAGTGCTGAATAGAAAGGTGAAGCGTCGTCCCTAATTTTAAGCATTTCAACTTTTTGGGTTTTTTGTTTTGTTTTTGCAAAGAACCAAATAAATGACTTTTTAAAAATTATCGGGTTGTCAAAATGCCCAAGTAAATGGGAATTCCAGGATGTATAGGGTTATTTAAGAGTAGCAAGTTGTTGACACACTCTAATTGCTTTGTCTCAATTCCTGACCCAAGAAATCAACAAGAAGGAGGCAGAGAAGCCCTTTAGTAGGCTTCCTCCTGGGCGGGGGTGAAAGGAGAGGGAGGCCCCCAGCAGGTTGCAGGGAGTCCGGGAGCAGAGCTGCCCAGGCTCGCAGTTCTCACTGACAGTGTGGTGACAGGATCGCAATCAGTCGTGAGAGAGGTCACAAATAACTTAATATTTACATTTTGCTTTCCTGAGAAACACTTTTGAATATCGTTATAGGGTCTATCTGCTGTAATCTAATTTTTATTCACTCCCATCCTGATACTGTTACTGGAGTGGGTGTTAAAGGAGTGTCGGGATTTCCTTTCACTGTGGACACACACAAGAGTGTGGATCCCTAACTCAAACGTCATAGAGTACACACACATCAGTGAAAATCAGGCCACCTGCGAGCTCCAGGCAAACCTTCCTAAAGGCCTTCTGTGTGCTTTGAAAACTGGAAAATGGTTACCCTACACTCAGCATCTCACCACTAATCTGGTAACAAGAGGGACTATAAACCTAGTCTAGGTTATGCCAATCAAAGTTGTGAAGCCTGCCTGAGAAAATCATTGTTTTGCACCAGGCTGATGTACAAGTCATGTGTCATTGGCATAAAAAAATATCTAGATAGGAAGAGATAAAGTCCTCATGATCTTGGTAGAAGATGGTAGAAGCAGCATCTAGGCTGGTCCAAGCAGTGGGTGGTTGGGTTCCTTTTAACAACTACTGTACCCAGAAATACCCCAATCCCTGGGGATACAATGGTGCCTAAACCAGGTCTAGTTCAGCCATTATTGAGACTGCATAGTACATCATTGCAAATATACCATGACAATGACAGTGTCTGCTCTCAATGAAAAAAAAAGATAAAGGATCCAACTGAGTCTAAGAGGCTGGGGAAATTTTCCAAACAGAGATCTGAAGGGTGTGCAAGGATTGGTGGAAAATTCATGGAAAGAATATTCCAGAGAGAAAGAACAAGTACATAGAAAGGCCCCAAGGTGGGAGAAAGCAAAGAGAATTCTCAAGATAAAGTCCAGTGCAGGTGAAAACCTCCAGTTCACCACAATGTCTGCTACACAGGGATGAGGGTCGCCAGTGCAGGTAGCACTCTTGGGAGCCCTTCTAGAGAGATTTTAATCTCTACAGCACTCCCCTTTCTCTGTCTAATGACAGTGACACTATAATTTTTACCTTTGAGATTTTTTTCTTAACACCCAGCTTCTCCTAATGAATGAAAACATGCCAGGAAGGTTTCATCAAGGAAAAAATACACAGAAATGCTTATTGACATCAAC